GCTATGAAGCTCATAAGGCTACCTCCATGCTCCCCTGCCTCTTTCGTAGATGTTAGCCTATACCTGTCTATATACCATTTTAAATTAATGTAAAAGCGTCATGCCTTCTCTTATGGGTATGGATGATTTGCATATATTTTTTTATTTACTATTACAAACCATTGTCTGGATATCTATTTACAAACAGGACTATGCATAGGACATGAGGTCACATGTTTAGACTGGAAGAAAGGAGATTTAGTCTAGGAATAGTTTTTCTTATAGAATCAACAATAAGGATGTGGAATTCTCTGCCTGAAGAGGTGGTTTTATCAGAGTCTGTACAGATTCTTAAACAGCAATTGGATAAATACTTGCAAAAACAGAATATTCATGGAAATAATTTTAAATTGTGGGGTAATGGCTTCTTGATCCAAGATAAATATGACTGCCATTCTGGGGTCAATAATGATTTTTTTTCTAGTGTGTTGCAAAATTGGAAGTGCAGATGGGGATTATACATCTTATTGGCATTATACTTGGTATACTTGGTAATGAAACTTACCGTGCAACACTAATAAAGCTCACATGAATGTGTGAAATGTGACAGATTCACAACAAGAAAACTCACATTAAAACATGTTTACTTAGCCATTGTATGATTGCACGTTGGTTTAGGTAAATAAATGTTTTTGTCACTTGCAGCTCGAAACAGTACTGATTTTGAAAGGATAGTCCCAATGTTCCATTGCATCCTGTCCTTGGGCCACAGTGTGAACATATCATTAGACACGCTCATGATGGGAATTGTCATTAGGACCCTTTAGAGAGCGATTCAGCACGTTATTAGCTGGCCAAACAGGCCACTTCTGTGGGCAGGCCTGACCCATTTCTGAACAGGCCCACCCATAATGGCCATCACCAGTGACGCCTGACGCATCACTGATAATGCCCTCCTCAGGACCAGCCCACCTGTCCTGATCTTATGCCTCCCACTGTTGAGAGGTGTACACCTAGATTTACCGTAAGGAAATTTGGACACAGTAAGTACCAGACAAATTGGGTATTTCCAGAGTATTGTACTTTTTGATTTAAGAAAATGAACAATAATGATTTCAGTGAGGTATTATGAGGTATATGGGTATATTATGAGCACTGTTATATTGGGAGCAATGCCAGGTGTGTTCAACAAGGTCGAGCCCAAAAAACAGGGGTTAGGAAAGGATAACAATAGCTTCTGGACAACTCTGGGGTACAATTCCTTACATTTGGAGTGAGTAGATACAAAGATCCTTTCCAAATACAGCACTCTCTTTTGTTTGTTTAATTTATTTGAATGTATGTTTGTTTATATGTTTATTATTTTATACTGTGTGTCATATAATAGCTTATGCAGCCATCTGGGCTTTGTTGTTGAAACTATTTTTTTCCCTGAAAATAGTTTACAAGTTACTTCTATTACGTTTCCAAGGTGATATGTGCGATTTCTTTATTTTTTTTACATGCATTCTTTTTCAGTTCATTTTTAAGGCAGTACATTACATCCAAATTACGAAAAATAACAGTGGGTAGTGGTTATATTGTGGTTAGTGAATAATGTCAGCATGCTCTGCTTACTCTCTCCTACGATCTGTCATGTCACATACTTTTAAAAATGTGTGGTATTGACTGGCAATCTACAAGGTGAGGTCTTACACAAATGATGAGATGATTCATTTTATGTAACTTGTCCTTTCCGATTTTCTCTCTTGTGGCTACGTCAGACCAGTAAACATAGCATTAGAGGGTTCTATAAATGGTTGCCACCATGTCTTAAAAGAGGAAATTGCATTATGCAACTCCTAGTATAATAGTGTATGGACTCCATGTTCAGTTGGGACACTATGTCCAGTCTAGGACTCCATGTTGTGTGTGGAGGAAGTCTGCAGAAAGTGATCTTTTGATAAGGGTATTTTTTTTTTTTTTATCAGCTTCCAATGTCACTGGCACAATGTGTATATGGTATGTTAACCTACCTGCAAATGAATTTGTCATGCACATGATTTATAAGTTATATTTTGCAGGTATATCTGTGGAAAATACAACTACAGAGGCAAATATGTTTACATGTTCAATATTCTACAGTGCTTTCATTAAATTATCTCTGTAATAGATCTAATAATTATTTTTTAACTCATTCAATCCTACAGTCTATGTGCTGTTAGTCTAGTGTATGGCTGTACATGAGTAAAACACAAAGGCATACATCAATGTGCTATGATTTGAGTAAAACTGCCATTTTGATGGACTGATGTATTCATATTACATCATATAGTATTGTATTAAAATTAATAAAATACTGAGGAAAAAGTAGTAACAATGTGCATTTAACATAGCATTAGGCTGTTAAACCTGTGGTAATGTAGTGAAGAAACAGCAAAGAAGACAATGGATTTTTTATCATATGGATTCAGTTGTTTAACCTCTTAAGGACTGAAGTAACTGTTCACATTCTGAACCAAAACAAAACATTGAGTTTGAAATATATGTGCGTTCCACCATAATTTAAGAGTTTCTCTTCAAGTTCCCCCTTACATGTTATATATTGTTTGTTAAAGGCTTCTCATTTCTAATACAAAAAAAACGGCTCAAAATGCAAAAACAAAAATGCAAAAGAACCAAAAAAAGAAAACACAGAGTTTTTGGCAATAAATATAGTGTGTGTATAATTAGTGCAGTTTATGAGAAGTAATTAGAAATAATTTATTTGTCCTGATATACAGAGTACATAATAAGTCTAGGATTTCATTTTCTTTTTGACAGTTGCAGGTCACACAATACAAGGAGTAAAATAAAACTTCAATGTGGAGCTATTTTAGAATATGGTATGTTTGTCTTGTACGCTTAATAGCCATCACAGAAAACACAAATACCATACAGAAGTATATATTTATATAATGAAGATATCATAGGCTATTTACCTAAGGGTATTTTGACACTCATTATGTAATAATTTAACTGCCAATCTCTGCTACATATTAGAGTAAAATTTCATTGTATTCAGTTTTTTTAACATACACACATGTAACAAGATTTTTTGAATGTGTATTTCGGAAACCTGCTACTACTTTAAAAAACCTTATAATGTGTTCAGATACATCTTTTGAGTACAATGATACAGCATCATATATCAGATCGGACTATTTCCATTTATACAGTTGGAATTTTAAAAAGTGACAAAGGTGATGGGCTTATGGCTCATGATGATTTGATATGTGCCACTGTGATCAAACCACAAAATGTATGCTCAGAAAACTTTTCTGAATAAATCAATAACCTTGATGTATGCCTTTGGCACTATCTTGTGAAGTTACAGTACTATATAAGAGACCTGGCTATTTCAGTTTTTACCGTTAGAATTTGATTGATTGAATTTGCTGGACTTATTCTGTATTTTTGGGGCATTATAACAGTTTGATAGCTATCAAGTTAAATTAGTAAATGGAAATCTACGCTCACACAGAGTGGTATGTTGCTGCCATTTTCTGGCTATTTTTAGTATGACAGCTTCCTATCTTTTTCATTCAATATAGTATGCCTAATGAATTGAAATCAGTGCTGGGCAACTAACAAAGCCAAAAGTGCTCAAAATGCAATTGGGGCATCGTGAGAGACACTCCTGGGTCTGTTTAGACCCTGGGAGTCTCCCAAACACTAGATCCAGTAAGAGAATCAGTTTGGCTGAGCTTTAAAAGAAACTTACTTTTTTCAAGCCAGCTTTATGAATGGGGAGTCACTGATTGGCTCTCAGCCAATCTGCGGCACCGCTGGCCAGTGGCACTTTGCGCTTCCTAAAACTGAGATCCTGAAGCCAGAGGCCGCCTTGGGGACCTGAGGATTGGAACTGGAGGCTCACTTTTGGGTTAAATCCTTCTAGAATGGTTTAACCCCTTCGGGTAAAAGTGCATCAGGGGGCCTCATGCAGCATAACAACTTCATTTAGATTGCCTAAACTGTCCCTTTAAGTCAAACACAAAAATAACGCAGGACTGCCATTAGAAATCGTAGGGCCCTTTACAAGGACATTGGCTGGGGCCCTTCCAAAACTCAATCGCACAGATAATGCCCATAATGTACACAAAACTAAACACTGTCAGACAATTACACACAACTTCACACTGTCAGACACACAACTTCACACACAGATGCACAATGTCAGACTCACACTGAAACACACGGTCCAGCGGTGCAGTCTGGGTCCCCAACTGTCAAATGTATGGAATGTTTGAAACACAAACTCCAAAACATAGGCCAATAGGGAAACATTCTCCACTTTAGTTAGAATAACATCTTGGTTATTTTGACTTGGATTCTATAATTCAGTATTCAATTCAATTAAATAACTGTTCAGTCAACAAACCCTATGTCTGTGTAGCAATACATTATGGATAATTGACAAGGAATTGAAAAAGCAAAAAAAATTTGCTGAAAAAAATCTGGATTCTAGAAATGATCTGATTCATCTTTTTTAGTCTCTAATATGCAAACTCTTTGCCAGTTTATGAATGCATAACCTGTCGTTTTTAGTAGTGCAAGATTGTTGATGTGTGTATAGCTTCATAACGTGTGCCTAAATGTAGGAATGTATTTGTGATGTGTGTTCAGTGTCTAAATGCAGAGTGTCAGTGTGTGTGTGTGAATATAATAGTACTTAATAGTAGTGTAAGGTTAATAGTATTATTAAGGTGTAATAAAAGTGTAAGGTCTATTTTAATGGACAAAACTGTATGACGTTTATTTCACTTTATATTTTCCCAGCCACCATTTTTTATATTCCACTTGTCTCTCCCAGTATCCTTCTCTGAGGTTTGTTCTCTATCCCGCCCCCTTCTTGTCACCTATCTTTGCCACCCCTAATTTAATTTTTCCATCTAGTCAACCCCAGAACCCCTACTTGTGTCTCTCTCCAATTCCTCTCTTCTGTCACAGCCTTTCTGTCACCCTTCACTTACCCCTCCCCCCATCCCAATCCTACTGCCTATCTCTACCTCTTTGCTTTCCTCTCACTCCGTCCTTATCCTTGCCTCAGATCTAGCTAGCTAGCTGAATGCTGCTGGCTGCTCATGGTGTCTGCAGTCTGTACATTCTCAACATATCCCCTGCAGAGTCAGTGTGGAAGGAACAGAACTATGATGTCACATCTTATCTCTACCTCTCTCCTACACTGTGCTTGCACCAAAACAAGGCCTCTTCCCGACCCGATGGCAATAATAACAGCCAGAGCTAGAGATGGGGGGCAACAGAGGTAGGGTCGAAAACAAATGTAATGTACACTGTGGATCCCCACAAGTATAGCTATTACTAAATTATATTTGGCCAGTTTGAGAGACCTGCTAAACTCCAAACGGCCCTCAGCTGCATCCGGTCCCCTAACTGTCTCTGGTGCCTTACTTGACTCTGGCTGTACCACCCTGATGGCGGCCCTGAATATAAGGACAACGCTAAAAATTAAAAACACATACAACATGCACACAGGTTTGACATGACCTATACATGTAACAGTACACACAGACTCCGATATTCGCTCATATACTAAACAGGCTGACTCATCTCGAGTGAGACATGGTACGCACTTGGTTTAACCACAACAAATTGCTCTCTTGATTTGGCAGCGTGTTGTTAGAAAGTGCTATTAAGGGCACAAACACTTAGATACATTGGGAATATTAACTAGGCAGGATTTAGAGCCATCTGATGCCAGGTCCCACTGAGATTTTACCCTGTTCCCCTTCCAGCCAGTTTGAGAGGCAAGAATAATTAATAAAAGTGCAGAGCAGTATATTTGGCACTTGAACAGGAAATTCTATTGACTTCAGTGGGACTTCGCATCTGGCATCAAGTGCAAACAGATAACTTTCCATAAATGCTTCTATTTGAAAGCGAAAGAATGACACTTGCAAAGCTCACTGATAATTCTGATGCACTGGGCTAGGGCAAATTTAAGTAAAATAATGCTTGAACTGTTTTTCCTGATCTTAGCCCCTTAAGGACTAATGCCAAAATGTACCATCATCAATCTATAGAGCATGGCAAATTCTAAACATATTCTGTTTAAGAAGGGTCCTACAACAACAATAATATTAATTTAATGGTTCTGCTTTAATATTTTTTGCCATTTTCAAGTGCATCTTTAAACCCCTCTTTCACTCCATCTAAGCCACCTGCCCCAGGCTGCTAAATTGTTGTTGTTGTTGTTGTTATTATCATTAGTATTATTATTAAAGTGATTAATAATCTTTCTTACTGTGTTTCACACAATGACTTTCATTACCAAAATGCTGTTTTTCTTCCTTCCTCGGGCTTTTAAACACATTGCTCCATTCCCTGCCATATGTTTGTTGACTCTTGAATTTACATTACCAATAAACTTTTCTCATCCACCACGTCAATAAAACAGAGCAGAAAGTCCTTAAGGGGAATGCAAACAATTATGGATCACAGTTTTATTGCAGATATGCAAGAGATGACAACGTAGAATGCAGATGGTTGCACTAAGAGCATTGACTTTGCCGTGTTTATTAGCCAATGGCGTACAGGAAAACCCTGCCTGCCAAAGCCATCAAATGGAACATTTTAGGGAACTGTAAAACATAATTGCCAAACTTGTAAATTCGACTTTTCCTTGTAAGGAGTAAACGAACAAGAAAATGAAATGAAGTTAGTGAAGGGATGGAAGGGTCAACGAATATAAAAGTAGCACGGGTATCATGTTACATTTAATCATACTTCGCTTTCTTGCACATTGAAGGTCAGTCTAGCAGGGAGAGGTTTATAACCTGCTTGCTGATGCCATTTGAAATGAAAAACCTAAACCCCATACAGACAACTCTAAGCCTTTGTAAACAGTGTCGACAATACCTGCATAAGACAAAATGGCTCCCTATTGCTTTTGCCAAATAAAACCAAAGAACAGGCCACAACATAAGGCAATAAATATACAAACAAAAGGATCAGGCAGACATGACCTCAGACAATACTAGATTTATAGGCGCAACATAAGCAACAGTTTGGCTTGTAAAAGTGCATTTATCATACCTTCCGTAATTTTCCATTATTTTAATTTTAGCTTCTTGGCACCCCCTTTTCTCATCTCAGCACCCCTCCAATCATCACATCAATATTCCCTCATTTGAGCACACACATTACTAATCATGCCCTTTCCTCCTAATGATATACTTTGTTCGTGGTCGTAGGGCCCTGACGCAATTCAGCACAGTGCGAGTTCGTCTAATTATGTACTCACGTTGTGCTAGCTAGGGACCGTTCCATGGAGTTTTAAGATGTGGAGCCCCAGGGTACCAACTTTGGACAGTGGGTATGGACCCTGAAATTGAGACTGGGGAAGGGTATGCACCTCCCATCAAGATCAACCAAACACGGACTAGACATGATGTAATCTTGAGTATTATACACTCAAGTTATTGTGGACTAAAGCTCCAAGCTTATATAACACTGTGTTGAATAATTGGAATCACAAAGGATGAAAGGGAAGAGAGTTGGATAGAAGGGGATCCTACCGATCCCTGCTTATAAATAGTTCCAATTTTTTATTTGTGCAGTTTGATGTTGCATTACTATACTGTATGTACATATCTGTGTGTCTATAGACCTAGCAGAACTACTTTTCTTTTTCTTTTCTTACTGTAGCAAAGGGGTTAATTAAAATGTTCTTTTGCACATCAAAGCCTCTAGGCTGACTTGTTAAATATTTCACTTTAAGTAAAATACATGTTAAAATATTAACTGCTGTTCTTAATGTAGGTCACTAGCATCAACAAACTGTACATAAATTTATAAAATGCAGACTGCTGAGAGGTGGACATATTCCATATCTTTTTGAAAGACAGTGCCCAGATGTCCATCAAAAAGATATGGAATGTCTTTCAGAATGTCATTAGAAAGTCATTTCAAGGTCATCCATCTTCTGACATCCAACGCTCCTTAGATTATTCATATGCAGAGAAAATGTGGCTGATTCTAGCATTGCTATTATTGGCCAAATGATACTGCCAATGCCAAAATCCTTATTCTAAAGGATTCCTTATTGAATATATATCAAGAAGAAACAAACAATTGCATTGGTTACCTATCCATTGAGGGGCCCTATATAAGGGTAGAGAGAAGGGATAGAAACAAGGATGATGACGCATTGTGATAATGTTCCACTTTTGTAATGCAAACCCAAAAAAGAGAAACATACATTATTTTAGTTTGTGTAAAAGTAATTCTAGATCCTCTGTCAGAAAACAGCAACCCTGAATCATTTTTTTTATGGTACCGCAGAATCGAAATTTTCCCTGACAGCAAACATTTAATTATGAGCTTAAAGGACCACTCTAGGCACCCAGACCACTTCAGCTTAATGAAGTGGTCTGGGTGCCAGGTCCAGCTAGGTTTAACCCATTTTTTAATAAACATAGCAGTTTCAGAGAAACTGCTATGTTTATGAATGGGTTAAGCCTTCCCCTATTTCCTCTAGTGGCTGTCTCATTGACAGCCACTAGAGGCGCTTGCGTGCTTCTCACTGTGATTTTCACAGTGAGAGCACGCCAGCGTCCATAGGAAAGCATTGTAAATGCTTTCCTATGCCGGCTGAATGCGCGCGCAGCTCTTGCCGTGCGTGCGCATTCAGCCGACGGGGCGGAACGGAGGAGGAGAGAAGGAGGAGAGCTCCCCACCCAGCGCTGGAAAAAGGTAAGTTTTCCCCCTTTTCCCCCTTCCAGAGCCGGGTGGGAGGGGGACCCTGAGGGTGGGGGCACCCTCAGGGCACTATAATGCCAGGAAAACCAGTATGTTTTCCTGGCACTATAGTGGTCCTTTAATACTTAGTATAAAACTTACATTCCAGGTACAAAGACCATAAATACTTTTTAATGAAGGGATTGTTATTACATTTCTTTAAGTGTTGAAACATTGACAGATATGCATGCTGACATAAATATATAAGACACAGGTGAATTCCTTGAAAAAATTACAACAGCGCTTGTACATCATTGCATTAAAAAAAACAATGGCTTGTCTGGGATTTCTTATTAGCTATTTTGAACCCAGATTTTTATTTAAAGGAACACTCCAAGCAACCACTAGAGTGCACTATTGTGATTACAGTGTCCTCTTTTGGGGTAACAGTAAATTTGTTGATTTTTCTCTACAATTTAAAGAGGAGGCCCTTACTAAGTTTCTGTACTTATGTCATACAGAGCACAGAAGAAGAAAGCACCCGCTTCCCACACAGATACAAATGACTGATTATGATCATGTGCAAAGTTAAAGAAACAAAAACATTTAATGCCACTTTAGTCTTATCATCGTACACCAGTCACATTATTTTAGTCTGTTTAACGGTTTAAGAACATGTTCCTTTAAGAAGACAATGTTTAATAAAAAAGCGTTCTGCAGCTAAACATTCTACAGTGCCATCTGACTCACGCAGTCCAAGAGATTGTAAAACAGATTTCCACTTTGAAACCTGTCTAATGGAAGTAGGTTTTATTTAACATGCTCCATGCTTCCTTGTGATGTACATTTAAGAATAAATTAAAGTCGCTATGGTCTTTAACACTTTTTTTTCCTAATGCACGTAAATCCTAAACAAGATTGGTTTGATTTACTTGACATTTTTGGTGCGGTTAGAAAAGGCCGAGAGAGAATTTGTCATTCAGTTTCATTAACGTTTCACAGTGGGGTAGAAACACATCCTGTGAGCATTTTTCATCTAAAGGTTTGTCAGTGCCGTTAACACAGTTTAATAAGTTTTGCTGAAGCTCAGCTTACATGTAAAAGAAATATTGCCCTCTAAAAGCAAAAGAGGGAAGGTGATGTTTTGTGGGGGCTGGGGGATGAGGTGAAAAAAATGTATTTTCTACAAAGATAGCGGAAAACTGGATGTAATTATGTAGCGGTTGGAAATCAATTTACAACAGTTTTTGTTGTGACATTTCAACGACAATATTAAACAGATATATCCGCGGGGGGAAATTGAAAAAAATAACAAAAAAAACAAAACCCTATTTGCTGTAGTATTTAAATGATTTTCAAAAAGAAATTCCATTAAGACTTAAATACATGTAATTTCCTTCCTATAACAATGTATTTTAAACTTAGCCAATTATAAATATAGCAGTCAAATCATCCAAAGCGTGGACTTGTGGTAACCCCTTTGATACTAGAAGCCTTGTACAAGAT